CAGTTAATAGTCCCCTTCACGTCTTTTTTCTGTGTAATGAGCTTGTATGTAAAAATGGTCCTCACGACTCTTTTACTGGCGGGCTCCTTTTTGGCTGCCCTTGCCAGTGCAGGAGGGCAGTCTGGGCCCAGGCCGGGGGACTCCCGGCTCGGCGCGTGTCGCCTCCATGAGGCCGGATTATCCCACCGGCTGGGGAGGGATCGGGGCCGCGCCCCGAGCCAGCAGCGTCCGTTGCCTGGGTTATGTGCTTTTATTTTTCTTTAAAATGTCTGTGTCCAGGCATGGAGGAATGGCATGTTTTCTGACCGACTCAGGGACACTCGAGTCTGGTTTTGCGGCCGAGGGTAGGCCTTGAAAGTCCTTTACGGTGCTCACAGCCTTCTTTTAGGGTCCAATTGACATCTTTGTAAAGCTGGTATTATCCTACCCTGTATTCCAGCAGGTGACCTGGTTTTTGTGCCTTCTGTGGGCGTTTCATAGCCAGTTTAGTTAGTTTGGGCCGGGAGCCCTGTTAGTCTGCTGCCATGCGGCTCGGCAGCCCTGCCCCGCCCCCCCATAAATACCTTTCTGTAGCTGTGTCTCCCTCAGAACACAAAACATAAATCCCACACAGCAGTTCAGTACTGACACTGAACCTGACCTAGTTAGTCCTGCTCATGCAGGCTGTTTACTGGGTCTTTCAAATGAAGAGAGGCTGAACTTAATTTGGAACGAAAACACGACAAAAGCAGAAAGGTGGCCTAAAGCAAAAGTGTTTAAAGTCCTGTAGAACCAGCTAAGGACAGGAAAAAGACTGTGGTGTAAGGGGAGGAGGGACTCTTCATACCTATCAGTCTAATTAATTCCTGTTCTGTGACTGCTAAGGGAGGAGCTATCCATAAGTGATGCTGCCATGATTAGCCAGGAAATATATATATATATATATATATTCCCAGGTCCCAGCACTCAATGTTCCCTGTCTTTTTGTGCTCTAGTGCACAATCTCCAACCAAAGAATATATTCCAAGTAGAGAGTACTCTGGAGTCTTGTTAAGATGAATTCAAACTGCTGCTTTATTGAGCAAGTACAGTGATTAACTAAATAGTCGACGTTTCAGTCTATGCAGACAATTTACAATGTAAACTCGTGGCAATTATATACATAAGAAAAGCAATTGATTGGAGGGTGAGATAATAAAAACGAGGTTGTGTGACGTCACAGTGACGTAGTGTGAGAAAATTAGCATGAGAAAATTTGCATAAATGATCGGGTTTGTACCTGTTGGAGTGAAATAGAGTATATAGAATATATGTACAATATACAAAAGAGGATCTCTGAAAATAGTATAGAAAGAGAGTAATGTAATATATATATAGTCTGTCTGCAGTATCAAAGCTTGAAAGCCGAGAGATCCAAAGAGTGCAAATTGGAGTGATAGATACTATGTATCAGAATGCAGAACTGATACAAATAATACTCAAATGAACTGGCACGGGAACACACAGATCTCCATGATACACGTTTCACGTAACAATGATTAAAGAAAAAATAATAACGTCATAACACGAACTGTACAGCATCTTGCTGTGATACACCCCTAGTAAGCATACACTTAATTCAGAGTAATCAGGATGACCCAATATGTACAACTTCATCTTCTTTATAAAAATATCATCTTCTTTGTAAAAAACAATATGAGCTCTTCTCATTTAGTCCAAGTGGGGATATCGTACCCAAGGTATGTATCCAGAAGGCTTCTCGTTTAAGTAGCGTTATGTCTCTATTGCCTCCTCTCATGGAAATGGGTATATGGTCTATACCCATGAATCGAATCTGAGTGCTGCAAGATTATGGCCAGCTTCTAAGAAGTGTCTGGCTACTGGTGTAGTTGCAGAACCACTCAATAGTGCGGTTCGGATGGAAGATCTATATCCACGCATTCTCTCCCTCGAAGTCTTGCCTACATAGTTAAGGCCACAAGGGCATGTAATTCTGTATACTACGTGGGTAGTCATGCAGGTAATGCGGTACGTCATTTTGTAATTTTACCTGATCTGGGATGGCAGAATGTTTTGCCTGAAGTCATGGAATTGCAGGCTAAACAAGTCAAACAATGATAGCTGCCCGCATTGGGTACTATAGTACAAGTCCATGTTATCTGGTCTGTATGGACCAGAAAATCTCTTAGATTTGTACCTTTTTTGTAGCTCATGATGGGGGTTTGTTGGAAGGGGAAGTGTTGGGTCTTTTGTCCCAGTTGTCCAGTTATCTTTAATGCTGGTACTCAATATGCCTGATTTAGGATGATAAGCTTGAGGGAAGATAAAGCGATCCTGGACATTCCGATGGATCAAGTTTTCTGTGATTGCTTGTGTAGCCCTGAAGTAGGCTGTATTGAGGGTAGCTTTAGAGTATCCCCGAGTTAGAAACTTTTGATACATTTTATTAATCTGGGTTTGTGCTGTATCTTTGTTGGAGTTATTAATCTTTCAAACTGGGAAACTGGTAATTATTTTTTCAAATTGAAAGGGTGAAAACTTGTAGCATGTAATAAAGTATTCCTATCCGTTGGTTTCGAATATGGTGTGTAAGATTGCCATTGACGGATATTTGTAAATCCAAGAAGTTGATACTTGAAGTGCTTACTTGATATGTGAATCTGATCGGCGATGATAAGTTGTTCAGTTCATGTATCATGTTAAATTCTTCTTCTGTTCCTGTCCACAATAGTAAAATACCATCGATAAACCGAAAATAATGCATAATCTTCCTTGCAAACCTCTTAAATATATACTTGTCTTAGTATGCATGCATAAAAGCATTAGCATACAGGGGAGCTCAAATAGATGTTCCGGTTAGTTGAGTGTAGAATGTAGACTCGAATCTGAAGTAGTTTAAAGTGAGGCAAGCCTGCAGTAATTCTAGTATGTAGTGTATAGGAGGTTTCAACTTGATCGAGGAATTCCGTAGTATTTCTCCCATTGCCTCAATACGCTCCTGATGGGGGATGACAATATACAAACTGCATACGTCTATTGTTGCCAAGAGGATCCCACTCTCTGGTATAGTTATGTTCTTAAGGTGTTGTATGACTTCTCCACTGCCTTTAAACAGTGTTTTGAGCCATTTTCCTATGGGCTCCTGCAAGCTTCCATTAGCCCACACTATAGAGCGGCCCAGAGGGTGAATGGGGTCTTTGTGTACTTTGGGGAGTGTATATAGTATCGTATAGTGTATGTATGTATGTATATATAAATGTGTGTGTGTGTATATATATATATATATATATATATATATATATATATTTATTTATTTATTTATTTATACACACACACACACACATATACGTCCACAGTCCTTAACAACCGTGTTTTGTCGGACGTACATAGTACATCCACGGTCGTTAAGGGGATATATATATATATATATATATATATATACACTGCTCAACAAAATAAAGGGAACACAAAATAACACATCCCAGATCTGAATTAATTAAATATTCTTCTGAAATACTTCTGTTCTTTACATAGTTGAAAATCACACAAAAATTTAAAAATGGAAATCAAAATTTTCAACCCATGGAGGTCTGGATTTGGAGTCACACTCAAAATTAAAGTGGAAAAACACACTACAGGCTGATCTAACTTTGATGTAATGTCCTTAAAACAAGTCAAAATGAAGCTCAGTAGTGTGTGTGGCCTCCATGTGCCTGTATGACCTCCCTACAACCCCTGTGAATGCTCCTAATGAGGTGGCGGATGCTCTCCTGAGGGATCTCCTCCCAGACCTGGACTAAAGCATCTGCCAGCTCCTGGACAGTCTGTGGTGCAACGTGACGTTGGTGGATGGAGCGAGACATGCAGGAACTGCTGACACACTCCAGCCACATGAGGTCTAGCATTGTCTTGCATTAGGAGGAACCCAGGGCCAACCGGACCAGCATATGGTCTCACAAGGGGTCTGAGGATCTCATCTCGATACCTAATGGCAGTCAGGCTACCTCTGGCGAGCACATGGAGGGCTGCGGCCCCCCCAAAGAAATACCACCCCACACCATTACTGACCCACTGCCAAACCGGTCATGCTGGAGGATGTTGCAGGCAGCAGAACGTTCTCCACGGCATCTCCAGACTCTGTCACGTCTGTCACATGTGCTCAGTGTGAACCTTTCATCTATGAAGAGCACAGGGCGCCAGTGGCGAATTTGCCAATCTTGGTATTCTCTGGCAAATGCCAAACGTCGTGCACGGTGTTGGGCTGTAAGCACAACCCCCACCTGTGGAAGTCGGGCCCTCATGGAGTCTGTTTCTGACCGTTTGAGCACACACATTCACATTTGTGGCCTGCTGGAGGTCATTTTGCAGGGCTCTGGCAGTGCGCCTCCTGTTCCTCCTTGCACAAAGGCAGAGGTAGCGGTCCTGCTGCTAGGTTGTTGCCCTCCTACGGCCTCCTCCACGTCTTCTGCTGTACTGGCCTGTCTCCTGGTAGCGCCTCCATGCTCTAGACACTACGCTGACAGACACAGCAAACCTTCTTGCCACAGCTCGCATGTGCCATCCTGCATGAGCTGCACTATCTGAGCCACTTGTGTGGGTTGTAGACTCCGTCTCATGCTACCACTAGAGTGAAAGCACCGCCAGCATTCTAAAGTGACCAAAACATCAGCCAGGAAGCATAGGAACTGAGAAATGGTCTGTGGTCACCATATGCAGAACCACTTCTTTATTGGGGGTGTCTCGCTAATTGCCTATAATTTCCACCTGTTGTCTATCCCATTTGCACAACAGCATATTAAATTGATTGTCACTCAGTGTTGCTTCCGAAGTATGAGGGTTTAAGAAAGGTGCCCCCATTCAACAAGTGCAGCATGTCTCTTCATTGAAAAATATGAGGATTGATGATAATTTTTTTTTTATAATTCTTTATTTTAGGAGTGCAGAGTTAATTTCAGGCATGAACAAAGACTTGTACATTACAATATTTCACGGGAAACAGTATAAGCATAGGAAGTCAAGAGATGCTGCACTTTTTTTTTTTTTTGGTTAGAGCAAGATAGGTACATTAGTAATACAAGAAATGCTTCAGTGGTGGTATTCAATGTACATAACAGTTGATTGTCATACTAAGCTATGATATGTAGATTTTAATCTTTTGATATATATAAGCATGCTTAGTGATTTAGGTCATTCTTTAGGCTAACCAGGATTAATAATAAGTATAGCTCGACGCTAGTGAAAGTAACTAGGTCATATACTATGTTTTGTGTGATGGCGTTGCTTATCCAGGATTACTCCCAGGTTGCTCACCTGAGAAGACAGGAGACATGTTACAAGTACAGGCAGAGTGGGGGAACACATAATTAACACTATGGATTAAAACTATTCTGTTGCAAGTTATGCATGAGTGAAGGTTGGTTAACGATGTCTGCATTTTTAGGGTGCCATTAATGCTAGCAATTTTGTGTGTTAAAATAAAAAGACTTATGCGGTAAGCTATATTCAAAAGGCTCAGTATATAAACTTAAACATGTTAAGGCCAGGCAGCAATCTACAGGTATAATATCACCCTGGCTGATCAAAAGTTCGTAAGTCTGCACACGCTTCAGGAACCGTCGGCATGGTGGGTCCGGTGCCTCGTGGGTGCTAGTGGACATATGGTCGGCCAATGCCTGTTCCAGCATGTCGGCGTGACCCGATGTTAGTGTCCTTTTAGGCTGAGGTTCTAGCTATGTCTCTCCAGGTGCATCACTTGAGCTTGCCTCTGTTGGGAATCGGGAGGAGAGTGTTCTCCGAGATGAACAGTGGGTGTTGCATATTCTGGCGTGTCACTGTGTGGCCCTCTTCGCTCGGCGGCAGGGTCATGAGTGTGGAGCGGAGTCCCGGCATACTGGTGCAACCGCCGCTTTAGGTCCGTAGGCCTCCGCTGCTGCTCGCCTTTCTCGTGGCTAGTTGCTTGTACAGGTAGGAAATCGCTTAGTGAGCTGCGATGAAGTGGAGCTGCCAACTCCTCTGGCCCCCTGGGCCCATGCCTGTTTGTTTCACTGGGTGTTCTGGGCTCCGCTGTTATGCGTTCCCTTCTGCTGACTTCGGCGCACGTGGAAGCCGCCATCTTATGTGATGCGGTCGGGCCCTCGAGTGTGATGGCGGCGCCCCGGCTGCCATGCCTCCAGGTGAGGACCGGGATCACCCCCCGGTCCATGGGGGGGGGACAGGGCCGGGTCCGCCCAGGTTCGAGCCCCAGGCTGGGCGCTGTGAGGCAGGATAGTGGTGCGGCAGCCGTCCGCCCCACTCACCGCCAAAGGCGGCCCCAGTTGGGACATCAAAGTTTTCTCCTCCAGGGGACTGCAGCTTGGTAAGCCAGCCTCTCCCTGGCTCCAGCAGGCCTTCTGCATTGGGCCCTGTAGCTGTCGGTCAGCTTTTTGGCGAAAGATATGTTTTTTTTTTGTCATATTTGGTGCTGTGTAGCAGGAGCTTCTTTTGCCTGCGACCGTCCAGCTCGGCGGTCCGGCCCCGCCCCCCGGATTGATGATAATTTAAAGAAGATTTCAATACGGTAGGCATGCGTTTAAAATTCCTACAACACACATTGTATTTGTTTTGCTTTCATGTTGTATTTGTACTTCATAATTTGGGTTTTCAATGGTAAAATTTGTTGATCAGGAACGGAACCCGTGTTTATTACATTGTGTCTATGGGAAATTAGTTCTCACTTTATGAACTACGCTTCGGAACTAGTGATGTCCCGAACGGTTCGCCACGGACTCAGCATTGAGTAAACATTGACCCTGTACCTCACAGTCAGCAGACACATTCCAGCCAATCAGCAGCAGACCCTCCCACCTCCTGGACAGCTCACTAAGAATGCAGCTTCACAATTAATGTAAAATGGAAGCTGTCCAGGAGGTGGGAGTGTCTGCTGCTGATTGGCTGGAATGTGTCTGCTGACTGAAGTACAGGGTCAAGGTTTACTCAATGATGAGTCCGCGGCGAACCGTTCGGTACATCACTATTCGGAATCAATTAGTTTGTAAAGTCTCCCGACTACCTGTATATACATATATATCAGTGATGGCGAACCTATGGCACGCGGCCATAGGTTCGCCATCAATGCAGAGTAGGCACCTGCCTGCCCAAAACTGCAGGCGCCTACTCTGCTTTCTTGTCGGGAGGACCAGAAGCAGGGGGGAGGGATCTAGGAAACAGCTCTCCTGTCCTCCCGCGAGCTGTGTGGAGCGTTGCCCATCGCGTGGGAGGACAGGAGAGCTGCAGGACCTGTCCTACATACTTACCACCACGGGACCAACAGGGATGGCTGTGTTCTCACCCCCCTCTCCTTCACAAAAGGTAGGGCGGCAGGGGGGTATACGGATTTAATATGCTTTTAAAAAAAAAAATTATGTATCTTCAAGCCCCACACACATCACCCCTCACACACAACACACCCCTCAATGCAGTCTGTGTGTGTATGTATATTTTCAGCGGACTGTGTGTATGTTTGTGTGTGTGTGTGTATTTAGCAGTCTGTGTGTGTATTAAGCAGTGTGTGAATGTTTTCAGCAGTGTGTGTATGTATTTCATTTGCTTGAGATACTAAGAAATATGAGCTTCATTTTATCTATTTATATCATATCATTGAACTCTGTTGTGTTCTTTTAAAACAAAAGATGTTAATTAGTTCGGACAACTGTACGAGTTGTTTTTTGTAAACTTAAGCTCAGTATTCAAAATTTAATTGCCGTGTTAGCACTTTGAGGAAAAAAAAAAAGTTGGCATGTATTGCGGTTTGGGCACTCCTGCTCGAAAAGGTTCACCATCACTGAGATATATACACACACACTTTTTTTTTTTTAACTTTATTTTTACTATTTTCACCAGCAGTGAAGCACTACCATGCTGGCAACACTATGGACACCTACTGTGGCCATGTGACCGCTCTTTTAGAGCGGCCACATGGCCCCTAATTTGCAGAGGGGGGAACCGAGTCTCTGGCGATCAGGTAAGTGGAGAGGGAGGGAGTAAGAAGGGGTAATATTTTTATTTTTTTAATGCAAATCTTTACTGAGCACAGCACAGGCAGAGCATCGGTAGTCTGCCTGATGGCTTCTGATGCACAGCACTACACTGCCAGGCACCACGTGGGGCAACCCGGAAGTGATCGCTACAGGGGGGAGCGGTCACTCAGGTGCCCGACAGTAAGGAGAGGTATTGCACGATGCCTCAAAGGCATCGTGCAATACCATCAGAGCTGCTGGAAGCAATCAAGATCGCTTGCAGTGCTCAAATTTGCCAGAGACGTATCAGGTATGTCCATAGTCCTTAAGGACCGTTTTTTGTCCGAGGTCGGGAAGGGGGTAAACACTAATTTCTTTAGGAAAGCCTATGAATTAAAAACTGTTAATAGCATTCCTTCCCTGCATTGGTAACCCACCCTGCTTCCTCTCCTGCAACTGTTGCATCCAATAAACTAACCCTTCATTGTAAACTATTCAAGTAATCTACTTTTTCCCCAGACATGATATATATACTGCCCTTACCTCTTGTGGCACTTTACCTAACTCCCTCTAGAATGTAAGCTCATTTGAGCAGGGCCCTCAACTACCTGTGTTAATGTGCATCCAGCTCATATTGTTGCAAATACATGTCTGTTAGTCCACCTATTGTACAGTGCTATGGAATTTGTTGGCACTTTATAAATAATAAAGTCTCACATTACCAATCCGAGTGTCTACTACACCTTTTGCAAAGCCAAATTTTCTGAGATTTTGGTTATTTTAAATCATTCATTGGATAAAAAGCTTTCTTGTAGAGAAAAGAGATTTCAAAATAAGCAGTGTAAAGCCAATGTAGTCTCATCAATAAATCATTTTATTTAAAAGAATATGTTACAATTAATTACACTAAGGTGGCTTACCAAACAACAGAGTGGTTAGGTCTAGAGTGAGAACGAAAAAAATAAAAGAAAAAAAAAAAACACACTGATGTGAGCTGCAGTCTCTCTCTCTTTACAATTTTTCACATTGTTCAAAACCACAAATAAAAATAAGATATACTGCCAGAAATAATTGTTAGATTTCTAGGAATAATAAATTAAAAAACAAAAACACAAGAGTTTGTGAAGACTTCTGACGTGAAGCTGGGTAGAAAAGACACAAAGATGGGGGTGCACATTGTATTGTTCCAAGCTGTCTGCTAATGATGTAGTAGTTACAGTCTGATACTGTAGGTGACTGTCTTATTGCTGTCATGTCCGCGTGCAGGTCACCATTTGAAGACTTTTGTTCTGATTTTAAAAGGAGCAGATGAGCTTGTGCCAACACTTCCTAGTTATCACCAACTGGTGGTCCAACCTTGTAATAATTTTCCTTTGACGCCTCCTGTGTTCTTCTTTTGCTTGACAAGAGACAATCAACATATTGCCAATCCATTCAGTGCAATAATGGATCACTGCATTTAAATCAAGGAGTGCTGAACATTTTTTCCTTATTTTCTATAAGAAAAGATCCAGATCTTTTCATTAATAAACATTCCAAAAATCTCAAAGATCATCTGATCAAGAGACTTCAAACAAATTCAGTCTACTCTAAAGCCACCAAGAGATCCTAGTACAGATTAGATTCTAGACCTTCCAAAAATGTAGAGCGTTAACATTTTGTTCTAGCCACCTGATTGAATACAGTGCTCCCCTACCTATTCTAGACAATTTATCTTTCTTTTGGATTGTGACTTTTCTCGTAGTCCTTGAAAATTGCACACTATTATCAAAATGATACATAGAAATGTTTAGTTTTCAGGTATTTCCAATAAGTATTTAAGTAGTTGAGCTAACAAAATAACAGGAAACCTCTGAAAGAAATTCTTTTTAAAACTGACCTATATAAAAGGCATCTGTCTTAATTTGAAAATTCATCTTTAAGGCAATCTGAAATGCAATTCATGCTGGTCACAGTTATATACAGTCAGTCATTACAGGGCCAGCTTGGGTCAATTTCAGGCAAAGTCCCAATAATTGTAACACCATTAAAACAAGCAGAATTTTCTATTTGCTCCTCTTTTTAACTTTGCTCAAGAATTGTTTTTCATACAGAACCCCACTGTCTCTCACCTAAAATGAGAAACTAGTATTCTTACCACAGTCTAGTAGCTACCGTTGCTCAATTCAAGTTTGACTCTGGTAATGTTACTTTTCAAACCTTAACATGCCAATGTAATTGGCATTGTATAGGCACCCCATAAAAGTCAGTTGGTATTGTAACTGTTACTGCATATTGCCAAACCTTCCCATAAACTGAGCAACATTAATGCAATGTGATACGCAACTATCTGCTGCAGAATGTTGATTTTCTAAAAGAACCGTGTGCATAACTGACTTCTACACTGAATACCAGATGATGTGCCAAGTGGTCCATTTATCCAGCCCACCCAATTTGGCACACTGGGCCAACACAGCCCCAAACTAAGCCTAGTTTTAGGAATATGGCTGTAGACACCAACCCCCAAAATGTAGTGGCAATTCATAAAAGTAATATAACACTATTCTGGATTAAAACAGGGTCTGTCACATGCCACTTTATAATCTCAAATCCCAAATGCCTAGAAAGTACCCCAAAAAACCTTGAGATCTGAGAGAGAGAGTGGGCTTGGGTGATGTTGCCTGGTGGCAAATACTGAAATCCTTCATCAAAGAGCGGTGCATACTGCAAGGTGACCTAAGTTCAACAGTTAGAGGTACACAGCAGCTGATCCCAACACGTCTTATTGATTACTTATGAAATGTAAAAAGGAGGAATGTGTCTATTTACAGGGAAAATAGGAGATCAGGGAAGCGTTTGGCCTCTACATGCTGCTGTGTGGGAGGTTGAGGAGGTAAAGTGGAAGAAGCAGGGGGAAATATAAATGGAACCCAAAACACTTGGACTCTTACCATCCACTCCAGCCTAAGCTTTCCAATTAGTCCTCTATAAACTATTTTAGGCCAAGACAGATACATATAAAAAAAAAAAAAACCTCCATTAGTAGCCTGCTGTAAATTGTCCGAGTCTGGATTCTAACTCGATCAGGTAGTAGTGTTAGATGGCTGTAGGGTTAAACATGCAGAGAACAAAGTGTCAGGACTAATAGTGGCGCACAAAAAGAGGGGAACAATTTACAAAGCGCTTGTAGGACTGATAAGATTGGACATTTGACTTAGTCATTTAGGAGATGCTGATATGGACCCTCAAGGAAGGAAAATAATGGATGTGGAATTTGCACCCCTTAAAGGCAGTACAATGCCCGGAGTGCTGCAGAGGTTACAATGATTCAGTCCGCCTTTTTCCTTCTAAAACAATGAGATGGATTTCTGGTGTGACCAAGCTCCATTGGGCAGGGATGGGTTAGGTTCTTATCCGGTAGA